AATAAGCAAAATTATTCAACCACAGAATGTAAGGCATTTGCAATAGTCTATGCCATAAAGAAATAAAAATATTATCTACTGAAGAATAAATTTTAGTTTGATGTCAACCACCACAAGCTACTTTACTTAATCAATCAATATGTAATCATAAGATAAATAGTGGAACAAATAATACTGCTAATAATATATAATTTTAAAGTTTTTTTATTTTAAAAAATAGAATATATTTATTGATTACTTCTTGTAAATATTCAATTTGACAACCAACTTTAAAATCAATAAATCTTCTTTGGATCCATGTATTCAAAATATTGTTGTAGATAATACATTAGTCAAAAACATTTAGATGTAAGATTTAATTAATTATCTAACTATGATACAAATTCCTTATATATTCTTTGGCTTTCATTGAATCAATTTTTTTGCAAAGTTCTCACATATATCTGCATCAATAGGAAGTTTTATAAACTTAGAATAGACTATATTATGTTGTTGTATTATAATACAACTATATGATGAAAATATAATCAAAAATAAATTTCTAATTAATATCTAATTATCTTCATTCAATAATAATTCAAGATATTTAAAAATTATTTTTATAAAAGCCTTTTAGTTTATTCTCTTATCTTAATAGTTAGTACGTTAAAGGTTTGTTAGTAATTTTACCTTCTAGGTTATGGAGATGCTTTTACTCCTTTAGAAAGACCATAAATTGATAAAATCAAGTTAGAAGAGATAAATAATTAGCATGATTGATACTAGAATTAAGTTGAAGATAGGATTGGGCTAAAAAATCCCTACAATAAATTAGATTGATATTTGGGGGTCGAATGTTTATAAGATAGGATTGAAATCAAACCTCTAGCCACTTAAACGACCGCCTAGGGCAAAAAAAGAGGGCATTTGAAGATCAGTAATTAGAATTTGAGAGCTAGCTTTAAGTTAATTCCAAAAGTGTAAGACTTATTGTCAAAAGATTTGCAATGACTTTGAAATTATTGTTCAAATTCAAGGTTTATATCGATGATTTGTAATTTATGCAATACAAATAGGGCTAGTGCTCTTGGCTAGTTTATACAATTGGTATTACATTTATAGTTCAAAATTTGAAAATGCTTGGTTAATTAGATGTACTAAGTGTATGTAAAATTTTGTGATAATCTGATAATGCAATTGAAAGATATCTAAGTTTTGGTGTAAGAAGGTATTAGGAGTTAAAAATTTGGGGTTGGATAGATTTTCTATTATATCTAAAAATCTACTAGTCGGATCAAAGTAAAATTTGGCATAGTATTAGAAGACTTAAAGATCAAGCTACACACCAATTTTGAGTTGAAGTTAATTGTTGGAGAAGGAGAAATCACTAATAGAATATTTATATCAAGTTTTAAGTTGGCGGCTAAGTAATATTAGTGTGGTTTTTGGTCGTTTTCTCATGATCTATAAGTTAGATTGGAATGAATTCTTTTAAGCACATAAAAGATTTATAGTGGCATTTGTATGCAAAAACTTTTTCTAAGTGGATGGTTACATTAAGAGCTACAACTTGCTAAAACTTAATGATTAGGATTAGGACTTACAAAGAAAAATCAAAATTACCTAATTATGAAATTAATAAGGTAATTGGAATTTATGTATGATTGAAATTACTAAGAAGAGTATTTTTGAACACTTTTTATGGGATTTAAGTACTTTTGAATTAAAATTCAAATTACATTCACTTTATAATGATGAATCATATTAGAATTCTTGGATACTTGTAAAATACAACTTCACCTTCCATAATGAGATGCCCAGTGCATTTTCAAACATAATGACATGTAATACATCACAATTGTACATCTCTAAAACTCAATACCAAGAGTTGATTCAAATTATGCATGACAGTCCTACATGCTAATATTAAGCAATCAATACAACTATTCAAGAATTTCTTATTGCCCAATATTAGTAGCCTACACTCCATAAAGTTATTTATAAATATATCTCTTTCTACCATATTTATCAAATTATCAAATTTGGATTTGTACATGTGAAGCAAGCTCTTTTACGACCTATATCTCAACTTGTTTTATTTATGCATTGCAGCCTAAACTTTCTTAGTCATATTAAATCATTCACTTGATGGCACAATAAATACATAATTGTGGCAAAAAAATATGTAATAAAATAATATAAAGCTCGTACATTAAAATAAAATATAATATTTTTCATCCCTAAATTCTTCTACAAAAACATAATCACAAGATAAATAGTACAAAAGTAAAAATTCAATGATTCTAAATTTTTTAGAATAATTTTTTCAAAGTATATTACTTATTACATAATAACAATATTTTAAATCTCAAATTAATTTTTTAATAGTTTAATTGGAAGATAGCTTCTTTATGCCAATTTTATTTTTAATAATTTTCTATCAAAAAATAAGGTATAAGTCACTAAACAAAATTTCAAGCTCTAATCTATTATTGTAACAAGTTATAAGATGGTCAAAAATCTTTGTAATATATTTCATTTTCTTGCATTAATTTTCACATTGATTTTTATTCAACAAATATTTTTTTAGTAAAACCACAAATGATTTAATATAGACTTTAGAGCCTTCCAAATTACATCCACAAATACCTTCTATATATGATATTTTGTTAAATTTTTCAATATGATTATTGTAAGCTTTATAATACTTGAAGATCTTAGGATAAAAAATCTATGTAAACAATTTAAAATAATAAATATTTATTATTTGATTAATTTAAAAATATATTTTTTAATGAACTAATAAAAAATAATCCAATTTCAATCTATTATAATTTGTAATAAGTCACAAAATAGATTTATTTTGTATTTTAAGAGTATTCATCAAATAATCTTTTATTTATATTTCTTTACAAAGCATTCAATTTTCTACTTTTTACATTAAATTTATAATTCTAAAAAAATTATTTGATCACAAATTTATTTTTATTTTATTTAAGATTAGTATTTAATTTATTCATATATTTTAATAAAATAATTTTAATTTAAAATTTTATAATAAATTTTTAAATTTTTAAATTATTATTTTAAATCTTTAATGGTGATTATTTAAAATTTAAAATTTTATGACATAATTAAAACATTCTTTTAAAATCTTAATCAAAATAACTTACAACCATCTTTGTTTCTTACCATTTTTTTTAATTCTATTAATTCAGACATAAAAAATAGGACTGATTTCTCTATTAAAGTCAATTTTCTTTAGTCTCTTAGAAATTATCTTAAATTTTAATTTAAACATGAAAAATTTCATATAGCACAGTCATTTATTTAGACATAAATATCTAATTGATAGACCTAGTAGTATTAACTATATTAAATCATCACCAAGTTTTTATAATATCCAACTTATAAAAAAAAACAAACAAAACAAACAAAACAAACAAATAAATAATCAGAATAAATTTTAAAAAATTATTAATCTCTATTCCAACTCAAAGCTCTTTTTTAATAATTTTTTTTGTAATAACTTCTATTAGTTCTTTTATATAGTACTACTATTAAGTAAAATAAACTAATTAATATCTCTTTAAAAAACTTATACTTTTGAACAAATAAATCAAAAATTTCAATGCCATTGATGTATATTTTATGAATAAAATTTTAAAAATTAATTATAATATATATATGATAAAACATTCTAATTCTAGATTCTAATTACAAGACAAATATAATGCATTATTTTTATTTTTATTAAAGTAAACAAATATAGACCATATTAAATATACTAAGGAAACTTAGTGCAAGTAGTATTCCTAGATTAGAAGTCTAAGGTAAAAAGTTAACCAATTAATTGACTAGACATGATCTTGAATTTCAATCATTCACAAGTTGGAAGCAAAAGACAACAATTATAAATTGTTTGCAAATTAAGAGGTTTTAAGCATTAGGAGGATGAATTTTACAAAATGACAAACTCTAAAATCATTTATGAATAATATTGTGAATCAAAGTTATTTGTGAACCAATTTTAAGTGCAACTTAACTATGATTTTTTTTACATTATTAAGTAATCTTTTAAGTCCTAAATTTTCTAATTATTTTTATTAGTTTGTTATATGATATCTATTTTTACTTGTATAAAGATCTAATAGTAGATTCTGTTTGAGATTAAAAATAACTTTATGGTTTTTTCCTAATATATATACATATATTTATTTATATTCTTTTAAATTAATAATCAAATTTAATTTAATATTTTTTGAATTTAGAGACATTTCATGTGGATTAATTTGATATTAATGCGTGTTAAGGTATTATCTACTAAAATGATGTCTCTATTACAAATTCACAATGGCAGTTGTCAAGAGACGATGCCAAATTTTACACTCACTAGTTTGTATCTTTGTTCCTCTTTCTTGATTTATTTAGTCATGTCGTTTCTAAAATTTTAAAACCAAACTTTCTCTACTTTACAAATTTTAAAATATATATATATATATTGATTATATTTTCATTTGTTTAGTATTTTGATAGTTTTAGACTTACTGGTTCTTATAATTATTTTCTACTACCTTTTATAATAAAGATAATAATCTGTGTGTAATTTGAGTTGATATATATATATATATATATGAAAATTGAGTATATATGTGTAATCAAACTTCATTTCTTTTAAGAAACCAAAGGTTTCTAATCCAACAAAAATATTATTTTTATTATTTTTAAAAAGATTTAATAACCAAAGAAAAAATAAAAATTTCTTATATCAATAATATGGAGCATCACCTAGAATTCTTTGTTGAAGTTTTGGTTAGTCTTTTGGCTTTACAAAACTTGTAAAAAGTTAGATCATGTTATGTCTTAAGTCAATCCACCTACATGCTTTCAAAGCAACTTTTGTGGCTAATCCCACTTCCAGGCAGAACTGCGAAGAATATCCTAACAAAGACTATGTACACTGTCAGAACCGTTGGCCATCCCGCTGACGACCACACACAATCCGTTGAAGCTTTCCGACTTGATTTCCTAGTGCCAGAATGTCACAATGTTGGCTATGGCGATCACTTGGATCAGCTTGCATTTGCTGTCTCCATCTCATTGCTTACCCCATCTGGACTGTATTGGGGTCTCCTTGCAATCCATCAAGGCTTGCGAAGGGAAACATCACTCTAGCTAGCTAGCTTGCCATGGATCTTAAGAATTCGCAATCTTGCACCGAGTGGGTCCAGCGACAAATTGGAGTCCAGTTAACTTGGGCAATTCTGGTGACCGCGGTTGCAACAATTGTGGTACTCTATGTTGCGGTGGTGTATCAGCGTCGAAAGAAGCTTCCTCCAGGTCCCTGGCCGTGGCCCATCGTTGGAAACTTGCCAGTCGTGTTCGGGTCCCAAAAGCACAAATTGGCCCACAAGTATGGAGGCCTCATGTATCTTCAACTAAGTACGTCTGCATTTGGTTGAGAGGGACGAATTTTCTCACGCATTGGCTAGAATATGCATCCATTTGTCACATGTGATTGGTTCATGACTACTTCGAGGTTCTGTAAGGATGACGCCTATATTGAGAGTGCAACCAGGCCAAAAGCCATGTCTGGTAGTTTGGACTGCTGCGGCGGCCAAGGAGATTTTCCGCAAGCACGATGCTACTTTCGCATCGCGACCGTCGATGCTTATCTTCTACATTCTCACAGGTGGTAGATACAGAAACTTGGGCTTCGCACCTTACGGACCTTTCTGGCGCCGTTTTCGACGAATTGCCAACACGCAGTTGTTCTCCCCAGCTGTGCATGCTTCACATGAGCCGATCAGAGAAAGGGAAATTCACAGCATGTTGCGAGTTCTCCTGGAGGACTCTTACAAGGGCAAGCCCATCAATATCAAGAGCTGGCTCACCTCAGTGACAGCCAACAACATGACCATGATGCTCACCAACAAAAGGATCTTCGAAATAGGCGCTGACAACGACGAGAAAAAGAGGGATTTAGAGGACTTGATGCGCCGCACCTTTGCCTTAATGTGAAGCTTCATCATCAGCGACTATGTTCCTTGGCAAGAACTTTCAAGTAGACGAGCACAGGAAGCGAGCGAAAGAAATGGACCCCAACGACACGGAGATGCCAGATGACATCGATGTGTTGTTGAATACGTCTCTCGATGATGGTGACTGGCTTGCTGACAGAGACATAGCATCCCTCGTTGTGGTAAGGGCCTCCCTGTCCCACTTGATGTCGCAGAAATCGATCGAGCTGCTTAATCAAAACCAAGAAGTCGGTCTGTTGGTTTTTGTCAGCGATGACAACAATGAGCATTGGACATACTTCAGGGCTTGATGAATGCGGGAACAGATACGAGCGCCAACACTGTGGAATGGGGGATGGCGGAGCTAATGGCGAATCCCGAAATCAGGAAGCAAGCACAAGCAGAGCTGGATGCAGTCGTGCAGGACCGCCTCGTGAAAGAATCAGACATCCCCAACCTTCCTTTTCTGCAAGCCATCGTGAAGGAGACATACCGAATGCATCCTTCGGTCCCTCTCTCTCAACGCCATGAATCACACCAGCCGTGCGTGATCTCGGGGTGGGAGTTCCCAGCCCTCACAGAACTGATTTTGAACCTCTACGCCATCCATCGCGACCCTAGCGTGTACGAGAATCCAGACAAGTTTGACCCCTCCAGGTTTACAAGGAATCCAAAGGTGGATCCTTTGGCGGGGAACGACTTTTACGAGCTCATTCCGTTCGGCGCTGGGCGACGGATGTGTGCGGGGCATCACCTTGGCAACGTGACAGTGACGTCCATGCTGGCGAATCTGCTGCAATGCTTCGAGTGAGAGCGGGGACGCGGTGTACATGTCGGACTTCTACAGCTTCATGACCTTCCGCCAGAAACCCTTGATATTGCTCGCCAAGCCCCGTCGCCCTGCCTTCCTGCTCCAGGCAATGCCATATCTCGAGAGAGTATTACGAGTGATTTGAATATTGTTTTGCAAAAGAAGTAATGCAATGAATCTTATATTAAGTAAGCATGACACTCATCTAAATTTACATTGAGCATTGAACGGGGTGAAATAGCGTAGCAGAAGATGGATCGACGCCTAAAAAATGATGGGAAGAACAAGGCCTCGTTTCCCTTCTCCTTTGTTTTCAGTTTTCACAAGTGATGAATACAAATTGACCATTTTTTAAAGTTTTGTGTATGAACTAGGTAACATTATATTTAATTATTAAAAACTTGGTGTTGAGTTAAAGATGAAGAAATTTAAGGTAACATAATATTAATGTTTAAGATAGTTGTGAATGGAGGATAGCCTATCATTTAATGTGGAAGTTATGGAAACATTTTTAAGATAGAAAAAGAGGTTTGAATGTTTGAAGTAAGCTTTACAAAGATTTAAAAATAGAAGAGAGTTGGATAAAGATGAAATAAATAGTGACTATAAGATTTAGAACATATTAAGAATAAATTTTATTAATTTAGAAGTTATAATAAAATATTTTTAGATATATGTTGTTATTTTTGTATTAATGTATGTTTTTAAGGCATGTTGAAAAAAATAACACTGCAATTATTAGCTAATAGTGATAATAAAATTAAAAAAAAAAAAAAAAAAAAAAACTAAAACAAGATGTAGAATTTATATTATATACATTTATTTTCTAATTTTTAATCAAAGAAGATGAATTTGAAACTATAAGAGTATATGATGCATTACAAAACATGAGTAGAACGATTCTTGAAATCAAATGAAGTAAAAAAAATACACAAATGAAGACTTTGAATATAGGATTATTTTATTAATCATCAAATAAGGTAATTTATATAGCTATTATCAAAATGACATTATCATATAACATAAATTGTTGCTTGACAATGGATCAAGCACCTAGTAGTGGAAAGTAAATTGAAAATGCAACAACAAGTTCCTACCAAGCCTAATAGAATCTTAAATAAATTCTAAATAATCTTTAAAAACCCTAATCAAATTTTAACTAATCCAAAAAAAATTTAAAAGAAATTACAAGAGAAATATAAAGAAGTCATAAATTAATTTTAAAAAATAATAATAAAGAAATCTTAAAGAAATACAAAATAAAAACCTTAAAAAAATAAAAATAATCTTAAAAAATACTAAAATAAAAATCTTTAAAGAAATAACAAAGAATCATTAAATATTAAAAAAAGAAATTATATATAAATCCTAAATAAATCTTAGATAAATCTTAATCAAATCTTAATATAGCCATAATTAAACCTTAATTAAATCCTATTTAACTTAAATCTTAGACCAAACCTTAATAAAATCCTAATAAAATATTATTGAAATCCTAATGAAATCCTAATCAAATCATAGATCAAATCTCAATCAAATTCTAATCAAATCCTAAATTTTAATTAAATCCTAATAAAATCTTAATGAAATCTTAACCAAATCTTAAACCAAATCCTAAAACATCTTAAATAAATCTTAATCAATTGCTATAATTATTTTAAAACCTCAATAAATATTAATCAAATTGTTGATCTCAACTAAAGCTTTATTCACATCTCAATTCATAAGGAATTAACAAGCATAAAAATTTTGAAAAATATTGATACTTAAATTCAAAAGAAAAAGTTCTTAAGTCGTTTGAATGTTGGCAACCATCCTTCTTCAATTTAAATATTGATATTCCAATAGCTATTTCTCCTTGCTAAGTCATTTAATTTCCTTAGAAATTGGCTAGTGAATAGAATTCTTAATCCAAATAGCTATCACCAATTTTAGCTTCAATTAAATAATCACATGTTGTAAGATTGTCAAAAACATGAACTAGAAAAAGATACATAAATCTAAGAAATCTGTGTAAAAAAAAAAAGTGACAAAATAAAAATAAAGTAGTATGTATATTAAAAAGAAACTGGAATGGCTATCGCCAAAAGATGAGGAAACTAGAGACTCTTGAATCTAGATTAGAAGCAAGAAAAGAATTGACAAGAGTGAAGAAGGCTTCACTCTTGCCTCTATATATACTATCTAAGTAAGGGCTATGTGGCGATGTTCTACAGAATCTCTAATATGTGTTCACTTTGCAAGATACATGCATTAACTTATATGGCATATTTTCTATGAGTGTGCCACATAGTTAGCTTATTCTTGAAATTACCAATATGTGTGGCACATGGCTAACTTATTGACTATGTATCTAACCTAAGAAGTCAATTATAGACACTTATAAAATCAAAGTAGTATCTATAAAGCTTCTAAAAAGCTTCTATAGAAGATGTTATAGAACGTATATAAGACAAGGATTTAAGATCAAAAAATGGAATTAGCTCAATATTAGAATTAAGGAAGAAGATCCTAAATAAACCACAAGAAGTGAATTGTCAAGTTTGAGGATCCCCTTAGCCTCAACTCCTATATATACTAGGTCCTAGGAAGCTTCTTGAGAAGTTTTTATGAGGCTTGGAAACAAAGCAAGCCTAAGATCCTTCTTCAACAACTTCCTAAATCATCTAAAGCCTCCTAGAACCTTCTAGGATCTCTTATGACCTTCTAGAATTTTCTTAGAATCTACTAGAACCTTTCGAAATCTTCTAGGATCTATAAGAATCTTTTTAGAACCTTTTAGAATCTCATAGAAACTTCTCAAATCTTCTTCAGTTGTATGTCCATGATATCACTTCTTCTTCTAGCTTCGAGGTCACTGAGAAGCAATATTGGTACAAGTCAATATATACGCAAGAAGTTGAAGATTTGTTGAATGGTGTCGACTATATACTTCAATTTTTTTTTCCAAGGAATATAGTTCATAGGCCCTTAAAGCCATCAATAGTGCCTCAAGCCTTCTGCTTGTAACCAAACATGAACTTCGGTATCTTTGTTATGGAATTATCTTACAAATACTCTTTCTTAGTATCTTTCATAGGCAAGTTCTACTTCAAATATAATTACCAGCTACTTATTACAAGATATCCTTCAACGTCTTTATATTTTAGGTGTCTTTTTATCTCAAGGTTATCTTCGTTAGCTATTTGATTGAGATAGTATGATTAGCAAGGTGTCTATCTGTGGACTATTCATATCACATAAAATAAATAAGACCAAAAGAATATAAATAGGCTATAGTCATGAACTCCAACAATTGATTTATACTATTCTAAACATTTGAAAAAAATTTCTCTTCAAAGGTTGCATCCTTCCCTTTTTCATGACTCGAAGAACTAAGAAACTTCATGGTAAAGCCATCTTATCAAGCTATTGTTCCTCATTTTGCCGCTTTTGGTCTGGATGAATGTCGTTGATGGAACTTTTGAACCTTTATTTGTCCATTTATAAGGTTGCCAACTAGTTCTCACGTATAATTGTTGATATCATATCCATGCCAATGGACCAGATATTCAAGGCTTTCATATCTTATCCTTGAACCTAATACCTTTTCTACTTCAAATTCAACATGATCATTGATTTCAATCATAGGAAGTAGTGGTTGTCTTCGACCTGGTATGTTCCATTCTTTATACTTTTTCAAAAGTAAAATATAAAATGGAGGATGTTCCTTCTCCAATTCATCTACTACTAGCTTATAACGTTGTTGAGTCCTTTTTAGGTGAGTCTTCATGGTTGCTTGAAGTTTGGCTATTTTCATAGCAAACTCTTCTATTATTCAATTTGTCGACTTTGAAGGCCATATCATATCGAACTCTAGATGATGACCATAGTTTGAGTAAAATGATATTTGTTGCATAGATGCATGGATTGTGTTGTTATATGTGAACTCCATCAATGACAAGTAGGAAGTCCAATCGTCTTGTTCATAGTTGATGGTGCAATTCAAATATTACTTAAAAATTTCATTGACCTGCTTTGTTTGGCCATCAGTTTAAGAATCAAAGGAAGAAGAAAGGTTGATGTCAACCTTAAGAATCTTGAAGAATGCCTTCCAAAACTATGATATAAATTGTGGCCCATGATTCGATACAATATTGTTTGGTAACCAATGGTAATGATAGACATTATTAATAAAGAGTCTTATCATCTCTTCAATAGTAATTGACTTCTTGCAAGATATAAAATATATCATCTTGGTCAATTGATCAACAACTATGAAGATAGTATTAAATGAGTTTGATGGTAGAAGATCCATAATGAAATCCATAGACATAGATGATCATGGTTGTCTTGGAATAAAAAATGGTTTAAGAAGTCTATATGGCCAGTATTGAGGATACTTTGACCTTGAACAAGTATCACATGATAGTACAAATTCTTTAATGTCTTTCAACATTTTAGGCCACCAAAAGTCTTTAGACAGAAGTTCCAAGGTCTTGTTGAATTTGAAATGTCCAGCTACAAGGAAATCATGGCATGTTTGAAAAATGCGCTTGTGAGTTGGCTCTTCAAAAATGAACAAACATTCTTCAAAAAATAAGAGGTTGTCTTCATACTTAAATTTAGAAGATTCTTCAAGAAGGTTGTTGGCAAGATGCTTGATATTAAGAATAAGAGGGTCCATCTTTGAGGCTTTACGAACTTGATCAAGAACTAATAAATCCACATGCATTGATATATTGGTTGCTTGAAGATGAAATTGCTCAGGCTTTAATAACATTGCCCATTGTTGATGATATGCTGCCTTGCCTTCTTTTGGTTCAAGGTAGAAACATCTTAATAATGAATCTAACAAACTTTCTTAAGTCCCAGGTCGGTATGTGATACAAAAGCCAAATCATAATAAAGATATATTTCAATGTATTTAATGACAGTTCAAGACTCGGGTTGATATGAAGTATTCAAGATTCTTATGATTTATATATATAGTCACTTGATGAGAGGTGCCTTCAAAAAAGCAGCACTATTCTTAGAAAGAATCTATGATAATAAGTAATTCTTTCTTGTGGATTTTGTAGTTAATTTTTGCCACTGAGAATTTTTTAGAATGGAATGCAATTAGATGAAGTTTGTCATCTTTTCCATATTATGACAAGCCTGCTTCCAATGCAAAGTTTGAAGCATTGGTCTCTATAAAGTAGGATTTATTAAAATTTAGATGTATCAAAATTAGA